TATATCCAGGCTCTCAAGAAACCATTATACGGGAAAATCTGTTACATTCATTTTACTTTTCAAGGAACACAACCAAAGATTAAAAAATTAGTCTGGGTCTTCTGTAGGCATAGGATCCTAATAAAATACAGTAACTAGCATGCTGAAAGGAAACAATGCACTTTGCTTTCCCCCTCATTTAAATATATTCTGCAGACCTTGGCCTTTGATTTTTAAGTACTGTACTAAAAAAACACAGAATTATATTGAACGTGAACTGCAGACGAATATAATGGACTCAAAATCCTATTAGTTACCCCTGCAGTCACAATGACGTGACTTTGTGGGAGGCAATTTGCCTCAAGTTAAGAAATCACTGTTGACATGATCTATTGTATGGTGAGTCACACTACTGCAACCGTAATGCCTATGGTGATTTTTTTTTAAAATGTGGGACAGTTCGCCTTCAAAAGTTATACTGCTACCATTAACACCATTCTAAAAGTCCAATAGGATTTTGGACAGTAGATATCATATGAAAATATTTGTGATGTTTCATACATACACTGATCTCTGAGCACTGTGAAGTTACACAGGACACCACCGCTATAGCATGTTTGCAATATTAACTTTGTTTACAAATGTATGAGTGAAATGTAAGTGGAGGCAAACAGGGGGTACTTCAAGACGAGAAAGGCAGAGGGAGCTCTCCTAAAGAGCAATTGGGGCAGACACAGCATGCATGCATACCCACTTGGACATATGACTTGTTTGGATTATAATACCCAGACTCCCCAATAACTAGGCTGCCTGGGGGATTGTGGGTTTTGTAGTCCCTCAGAGATCAGATTACACATTTCCAGGCTCTGATATGCTCAGCTCTCTATTCACCACTGTCTGTCTCTCCACCAGCAATATTCTCATCTGTAATTTGCCACCTATAAGATTCAGACGCCATCTTTGCAGCCAGCCAGCCACAGCCATTGCAAAGTAGTAATGTGGCCTTGCCAAAGCTAGACTCTTAACTGCGCTGACTTCTAGACAAAACTGTAATGAAAGACTCATGCACAATACCATATTTTCCGTGTATAAGATACCCCCACGTATAAGACACCGCCCCCACTTTTCTAACCCCAAATTAGAAACTTTGATCACTGCTTTCCCTGCCACCTCCTAAGCCCCACAAAGTTTAGCAAGTGGAGGGGGAAAGCAGTGATCCAAGCAATCCTGTAGCCCTTTGATTGCTGCTTTCCCCCTCCCTTTGGTAAGCCCTGCAGGACATAGCAAGTGGAGGGGGAAAGCAACGATAAAAGCACAGCAGGATCGCTTTGATCCCTCCCCCTCCACTTGTTTTTGTTCTCTCCTCAGCTTCTGTGTCTGCCCTCAATTTTTAGTCTAAATATTTTAGACAAAAGTATCGTCTTATACACAGACAAATACAGTAATCAGGCTGAGTATTTTCAACAATATTCAGTTACACATCTTGGAAATCTTTTTGTAAGCAACTGAATCCGCTCTACCTTGGAAGTGTTACTTACATACAGAGTTCATGATATGAGCCGAAATAAATTAGATTAACAATTACAGTGGTGCCTCATCTGACGACATTAATTCGTTCCAGCAAAATTGCTGTAGAGCGAAAACATCGTCAAACAAAATAAAAAACCCATTGAAACGCATTGAAAACCATTCAATGCATTCCAATGGGCTGAATACCTGCTTGTCCAGCGAAGATCCTCCCTATGGCGGCCATTTTCTGGTGCCTGTTAAGCGAAAAATCAGTCCTAAAAACAGCGGGGGGGGGGGCCTTTTCTTCAGCCGGTGGCCAATTTGAACCCAACGATCAGCTGTTTACTGATCATCGTAAAGCGAAAATCAGTTCCTGAAGCAGGGAACCGATCATCATGAAACGAAAAAAAAAAACCATTTAAACCATCGTTTTGTGATCGCAAAAGCGACTGCAAAAACTTCAACATTAAGCGGATTTGTCGTAGAGCGGGGTAATCGTCCAGCGGGGCACGACTGTATCATGGCACTTGTATGCCATCAAGCCACATTGCCAAGTCATTTAATTCGATTAGCAGACTATATATATAAGTTGACCGTCAGTTTGTAAAGTAAAGGCAGCCTCAGGAGAGAACAGAACTCTCTACTGATAAACTGAGAAAGGAATTGACTTTTCTCTTCTTCACATTATACACATAAGGGTGTATCACACCCTTTAACACACACACACAAAAGTCTGGTTTCAGGTCCTCAAACATGCTGAAGTTGACACCACTGCTTCACACACACACACACACACACACAAAAAGTCTGGTTTTAGGTCCTCAGACATGCTGAAGTTGACACCCCTGCTCGGTCAGCAACTCTCTCTTGATGAATTTTAATTCCAGTTTACAACAAGATCAGACTTGCAGCAAGCCAAGTCCTTCACCTTGGGATTCCTCCACCTGTGTGACTGACAATAATAAAAAAGTCAGAGAATGAGAAAAATTGTTAATTGGCAAGAATGCAACATCGTTAAAGTAAATGACACTGATTTACATGACTTGCCACATTGTTGGTAACATGTTTATAAGCCTAATGTTTTTAGTAAAAGCAAAAAAGAATAGGGCTGTTTTGGAAGAGAGCAGAAACATCTGGTGTACTCCACCTATGACAATTCCTGACTTCCAGTGTTGCATACTACAAATATCAGGTTGGAACTAAACGCATGAAAACAGAGGATCAGACAAACCAAGCATCTGGAGCTGTATCCATTTCACCTCCAAACTCTATGTCTGTCCATAAGAATGCATGGAGTACCTCTACTGGAAAGAGAACTTTAAAGGATAGATAAGCCATTTGTTATGGGACTAGAAAGCATGGTTTAATTTAAGGCAGTGTTATATACCACTATTGGCATGGTATATATGTTGAAATTAGAGATGGGCAGGACATGATTCAGCTGCACAGCTGTTCCGTAGGCACCCCTGCTTGTCTTGCCACGCCTCCTCTAGCAGGCGGCCACTCAGAAGCAATGGCACAGGTTCCTGAGTGGGCACCTGGCAGAAGACTTGGGGTAAGAGAAGATGGGTTGCCTGCCAAACAGCTGTGCAGCCGAACCACTGAACTGTGGTCTGTGCCCATCTCCAGTGGAAGGAAATAAAGAAGAAAGGAAAAAAGTGAGAAGGCTCAATTTTGCAGCTGTCTGGAAAGAAAGTCTTGGGGAAGTCTACTCACATTGGTCAATACTACCTCGCCTTGATAAGGATAAGGATAAGGAGGAGGAGGAGAAGTCGCTTTTGAAATTGTCAATTATGACAATCAAGCCTGGATTTCTGCTTTCCACTGGGCCTGCCACAGACCAGTAAAAAAAGATTTTCTGGCTCCACAAAGATATATTCATTTTCATGTTTGTCCACACACCCCACTCAACCATTAACAGACTGGATCAGCGATCTTTTGGGCTGATATATGAATTATACAGCATAGATGAAGTATTAGGTTAATACAAGAGATAAACCTTATGCCAACTCATTCAAAATTAAAATTACTTAAGCAGAGGTTTTCACTTTTCCTGTTTTTTCCTGTTAAAAATAGAAGCTGACAACTATAATAGTGATTAGTTTTATATTATGGGCAACAAGATCCTAAAGCTGAATAAAGCCTAACTGTAATTGTGGCTAAATTATCTGTATGGATGTGAAACCTTCTTCGAGGCAACAATCTATTAAAAAAGATGATAAATTGTTATTAGAAGATATTTCAAGGAAATGAGAAATTGACAGAAGAAGACTTAAGAGTTAAAGGATCAGCAAGATAATATTCACCAGGAAAAAGCCCATCAAGAAAATCATAATATGGTCTTCTGAGAATTCATAAGAGTTCTTGAGGATGAGCCATCATCTTCATGAAATGCCAGCTTGATACAAACCACTGTAAATACACCAAGCTGAAGTAGCATCAACTCCAAATGTCATACAATGATTCATTGCATCACATGCCACAACACAAATTGCAGATTCAGAAACAATTTCAAATGACTAGCAGGAAATAAAAATCACTCTTATTTCCTAACAACTCATCATCATCATCATCATCAATCGCAATGCAATTGCTGTCCTTTAAATGGAATATCTGATTTTTCAAGGATTTTAAATTATATTTTTCATATTTTTCTTACCACATCTAGTAATTTATTTAAGATGACTGGAAAGATACTCCCCTCCAAGCTGAAAATTAAATACTTTCCATGATGTTCACACTGGACAACATTCTGATACAAAGTACAAGAACTTGGTGGAGGTTCTCCTCAGCTATATACTGGAGGTTCTTTACACCTTACATGTTTGTTTCAGATGGCTGGCTGTCTTTAACAACACGACATCAAGAACATAAGTCCTCACACTTTTTCTCCAGGAGTCCTACATAACACCCAGTTGTACAAACACACCTTTTGTTGCTTACTTTTTACTGTGTAGTGTGCTACACAAAAGTTCCAATGGAATATATATGACCTTCCAGTATGTGTGCTAAGGAACTTTAGTAGACAGACATTTCTGTCTCAGACAGGAAAGGAATACAGACAGAATGGAAACAATCTCAAGGCTCAGAAGGTGCAAGACTAATTTAGACATCCATGTGCTTTATTGTTTTGCCTAAAGTTCACCTCATCATTAGGAAGGGATGATAAACTGGGTATAAGAATCAATTATACCCAGTTATAGTCTTGTGGATCAACGAAGTAGCCAGTATACAAAAATAGAGAACTTTCAGGATGGGCTGCTTGGGGGGGGGGGGACACACCCGTGTCTTTCACTTTATATCCTTAGTCGAACTGTGCCAAGCTATTTTCTTATCTCATGTCCCTTGTCCTTATGAAAGTTCTTGTTTTGTTCAATTTCATGAAATACGTAAAAGAAATATCATATGAAATCTGAGACCCAATCCAATTAAAAGCCAGCAGTGCAATGCAGTATATAACTTGGACCATGTATTTTTTTTACCTTTGGAAAAAAAACTCTACACAATATTTAACAATAAAAAATAGTATTGCTCTGTAGTTTGTCTGGAATGTATGCCATTTGTCATAAGTGACCTGTCTGCAGCAGTGTATATTTTGAAACAAAAGTGTCCACTGATTGTCCCTGCAATGTTTTCATTGCTCTCCAGTGAAGACTGCCACAGTTCTCCGGCTTGCCTTGGGGATGATTCAGCTCCTCCCTGATGTAATCCAGCCAAAGATCTTCAGAAAAAGAAAAAGCCAAGTTAAGACTATGGGAATGGGGAAATGCTACGGGACAGAAGGTCCCCACATGCTAAAAACGGAGTATCATGTAAGCCTGTGTATCTTCAGGGGAGCTATCAACTCTACAGCTGCAAAGTATTGTGCTGAATTCCAGCACGGAGGCCAAGGAATAACAACCAACAACTGTCATAACACCAGTCAAAAATTACACTTCTCTAGCAAGAAGAGCAGAATGGTTGCAGCAGCACATAATGGATTGGTAGTCCTCCCCCACCTAGTGCTGGACCATGGTTTTAAGGGACAGGAAGTCTGAAGGCTACAGGCCCTTACATCCTTTTGACTACAACATGGACACTCAGCCTCTACAGAGAACTAAGTCTCCTCAAATCCCACAATCAACTAATGAGGCAACGCCAACATTATTTGGTAGGGCAGGAAGTGGGCAAATTATTGTCCTCCAGATGTTGCTAGATTGCAACTCCTACCATCTCTAGCCAACATAAGTTAATTGAGATGAATGTTAGAAGCTGCAATCCAACAACATCTGGAGGGCCCTATTTTACCCTCTTGAGCAGCAGACAAAGGACAAAAGAAAAGGTAAAACACAAGTCATGCTTCTTTTAACAAATCAACTTTTGCTTTAATATCCGGATGCTAAAGCGAACCAGTCCTACAGCTAACCTAAAATGTTACTTTTCAAATACAGAGAAGGAGCAAGGTTTATTTTCAATCATCCCTGACTACAGGACACATAACAATGGGCTCAAACTACAGGAAGCCAGATTTAGGCTAAATATCAGGGAAAACATCCTAACTGTAAGAGCAGTATGACAACGGAACCGATTACCTTGGAAAGTGGTGAGCACTCCAAAGCTGAAGGCATTCAAGAGTTTTGACAACCATCTGTAAGATCTGCTTTGATTTGTATTCTTGCACTGATCAGGGGGTTGGACTCAATGGCCTTATAGGCCCCTTCCAACTCAGTTATTCTATGGTTCTACTTATTAGACAAGACTGCTCATAGGAGTAAAAAGCTTTACACTGAAGTTTTGAAAAGGAATGCTATTATATAGGGTCCCATTTATACTCTGTTTTTCTCCCTGATGTGGAAGTCAAGGTGGCTCCCAACAAGACTTTAAAAAACACGCACAAGCTAACACAGGCAAAAATGTAGAATTCTGAAATACAATTAAATAAACTGTAATATTAAAACATTACTGAATGGAGATGTCACAAAGTATTAACTGTAACAGCAGGTGCTGCTCGATGCAGATGCAACCACTGGTGCTGAGCCCCTCTTATACTAAATTCACCAGAGAAAAGCCAACAGCATGACACATACAAAAAAATTGCTCCCTCCCTCCAGTTCTGCACAGGCAATAGCGATAGCTGTCACAGATTCACAGCCAGGCTCATGTGAAGCAGAAGCTCCCTGTAGGTTTATAGTGGATGTGAGAGGAAATTAAACTGAGGGGACTAGAGGAGCTGCTTCCTAAACTAGCCACCGACTTCTCATTTTTGAAATGTATGTGCCACCTTTCTGTCCCAAGCAGGCCAAGATATAGGTCATAATCCAGAAAACTAAGTTTGAAACATGCACTAGCTCAAGATACAAAGGAAAGAAGAGTCCAATGATTCAACTGGGCTTCCCCCATCTGGCGCCCACCAGATGTTTTAGATTACAGCTCTCCTCATTCTTCATTACTGGCCAGGCCAATTGTCTTGAGGGAATTGTAGTTGAGAACACACCGGGCAGCAGGTTTGGAAAGGCTTGATTTAACCCTTTTTCAGGGAGACACACACACACACACCGAGAAACAGAGAGAGGTTAAGTGAAAAACTTCTTACCAGGTTCTGTAGCACCAAATTCTCTCAAGGCACGTTCATAATATTCTCGGATATTGAACATTCTGCACGACTCCTTTTTAAAAAAAGGGTGAGAGAATTATCTTGGTCTACTGTCGCGTGCTACAACCGATTACAGCAGTTAAATGCAACTGTCAAGTGATCCAAATATTTCTGCAGAAGAGTTCAGTGTTTCATGTACGTAACATCTCACTACTTGTCACCTTCTCATCCACAGAAGCAGCTCCATGAATTTAGAGAACCCGGTAGAGACAGAAGAGGTAGCAGGAGCTCTGGGCACTAACACGTGAGGCAATCTCTTTTCCATCCTCTGGTCACATGGCTCTTTTTGCATCTCAACACGCACCCGCCTCTTCCATCCTGTAATCCTGCATGCCTCCCCAACTTCCACAGTTCAAACCCTGCCGATCACACCCAAGCTGTTAAAATAGCCTTCCATCATCTTGGAGTTCCCTCAAAAATATATTTAATACACGGAACAAATAAACAAGCAAAGGGGGCTAAAATAAGGAACAACACGGGTGGAGAATAAGGGCTATTAAGAAAAAAGGAAGCCCCCCTCCGTCAACATTTAGACGGGCCAGGTCAAACAGGTGCTCAAGTTGTTGTCGTCATTGTTTCAATGACCACCATAGTGCTACAGCAGTCTCTGGACAGTTTACAACATGATTATGTGAAGAAATGGACTTTGGGGCACCCCACGGGGAGAGCCCCAGAGCCAGATCAGCCGTAAAAGTTACAAAAGTTACACAGAGATGTTTCCAGAACCATCGAACCAGGATCACAGCTCTGCATGCCATATCCAAGGAGAGGAGCTCCCTTGAAGTATAAAATAGGTCAAGCCAGGGGCTTCCGGCCTTCAAGGCAGTTTCCTGTAAACATCCGGGGCTACGCACTTCAAAGTCTTTCTTTGAAGTTAAACGGGTTGCCAGGTTCCTACACAATACGGATCCCCTGCAGAAAGGGAGGATCAAGCCCTCACGCATGGATAGCTGAAGTATGCCGCGGAGACAGGAGGGATTCAGAAGGAGTTCAGGTGATGGAAATTGAGGAGAGAGAGAGAGAGATGATCCAGCTCCTCTCTAGGCCAGAGAGAAGCAGTGCCGGGATGGAACAGAACAGACTCTAATCCTCCAAGTGAGAAAGTAAAGCCACAGTGAATAAGCCTCACAGCAGATAGAATTTCTAGTTAGAAAATAGCAGAATTTCTTATCCCAACACTTGTCTATAGCCTGACTCAAGCCTTGCCTAGAATCTTGAAATGTAACCTCTGAATCTTAATTACTTCTTTACCCTTTTGCCCGTCCTTTTACTTTTAAATAAAGTTACAGTGGTGCCTCGCTTGACAACGTTAATCTGTTCCAGTGAAATCGCTGTTAAATGAAATCGTCGTCAAGCGAATTTTAAAAACCTATTGAAACGCATTGGAAACCATTCAATGTGTTCCAATGGGCTAAATACCTCATCGTAAAGCAAAGATCATCCATAGGGCGGCCATTTTCCAGTGCTTGTATAGCGAGGAATCTGTCCTAAAGCACAGCGGGGAGCTATTTTGCACAGCGGGCAGCCATTTTAGAGCCGCTGATCAGCTGTTTGAAAATCGTCGTCTAGCAAAAAATCGGTTCCCGAAGCAGGGAACCGATCATTGTGAAGTGAATTTTCCCTATTAGAACATTGTTTTGCGATTGCAAAAGCAATCGCAAAAACCTCATCGTCAAGCAATTTCGTCGTTTAACGAGATAATTGTTAAATGAGGCACCGCTGTATTACTTTTAGAACAGAATCTTGTGTGAATGAGTCTATTCTTTGTAGAACTACATGGTTAATCTAGTCCGGATAAGCCAAGCCACTTGACTACCCTACCTGTGTAAATCGGTCCTTAGAGCACATGCAAAGTGCAAGGGTTTTACACCCAAATAATTCATCTGTGATTAAGCAAATAATCACATAATCCAGGGGTCCAGTGGCAGCGAAACTGGGAGTCAAGGAAAGGACATACCGCATCGGGAAAAGAGGAGATGGCTAAGGCGTCCCCCCTCTAGCTGAAAAGAAAGGCTCAGACCCTAGGCACGGATATAGCCACATGGTATATTTTACACTTCAAGGGAGCTCCTCTCCTTGGATATGGCAGGAGCTGTGATCCTGGTTCAATGGTTCTGGAAACATCTCTGTGTAACTTTTGTAACTTTTATGGCTATTCTGGCTCTGGGGCTCTCCCCGTGACACTTTGCTCCCCAGCAAGCTGGGTACTCATTTTAACGATACTTGAAGATGGAAGGATAAGTCAACCTTAAGCCATCTGGATTGTACTTAGGTCGTGAGCAGAGGCTTGTGTGCAGTACTGTAGTTTAACCACTGTGCTAGGGGCACAGCGACAACAAAATGCCATCAGAGAGGGAGGCAAAGTAAATTTCCAAAGGCAGGATTTCTCAGAAGGTTGCTGTTGTTACTAGGAGAATCCTTGCACCCATTTTGGTCTACTGTGCTTAGGATGAGGATGGTGGGACTTGGGAGAATATACTTGATCAGGATGATCTTAGTGGACAGGCAAGATCATAGAGGCAGTAGCATTCTCTTCGGTATCCAAGCTTTGAAGATGTTTAAGGCTTTCCAACAGGAGCAGGCAACTTTGGATTCTTGAAAAATCAAGAGACTGCAACTCCCTTCTTATAGCATAAGCAGCATATAAGAACTCTACCTTGTCCATCATTCTGTTGCCACAGTGGCCAACCCAAATGCCCCTGGAAAGACCCAAACAGGGCATGAATCCAACTACACTTTCTATCTGACGTTCACCAGCAATTAACTTACAGAGGCAAACTACCTCTCATACTGAAGGCCCTAATTTCCCCAAATCCACCTCATCTCCTCTTAAAAGCTCCCCACACCAGCAACTGCGACTACATCCTTTGGCGGTAATAACCACTACAGTATTTGACTACACACCGTTTTAGCATCATCCTTCACCACTGGCTACACTTACTATTGCTAATCAGAGCTGCAACCCAATAACACTTGCAAGGCCAGCCCTTTCCTGGTGATTTTCAAAAAGACAGCTCGAGCCCCTCGCAGTAGCCCAACCAAAAAGTGATGGCATCGTGTTGGAATATTAACTGGTGCTCTAGAAGCCTCAAATCCACAAATTCCCAGTGATGTAGATTATAACAACAACAACAAAAGCCTCAGGACTTTAAGAGACATTTTAACACTCACCTGCTCCTTTTCAATCTGAATCATCTTCTTGAAGAACTCAAGAGAAAATGGCGGGTTTTTTTGCAAACTAGGACAAAAAGAAGTTGTGTGAGAAACGAAGCTTTCAAAAAAGGAGTTTGGGGAAGAGGAGCATGCTAACTGGAGTTGTAAGAGAGAATTTCTAACCTTGTAAAGACTTTCTTTGCTTTCTTATAGCCACCAGTCTTATATGCCCATTCCAGATACTTTTCTCTCATGGTTAATGAGTCAGCAGGAAGCGTGGCCAGTAAAGATTTCTGAAAGTTAAATGCATGTTAGCTTTTAGACATTTTGACAATAACCTATGAAGTTTTTAAGCATTTGTGAAGGCTTATGAGGGATCTGAATCAAGCGCAGAGAGGCCCTTGCTGACCTGATTTGAACCCAGTGAGGTATTTTAACTTAGACAGGACTAAAATAAGAGAACTGCAAGTTGATATTCAATCCAGGTTAACAGGACTATTTCAGAATCTTCCTTCAAAATTATTCTAACACGCTGTACGTGTTGGTAGTACGGCAAAAATCATCAGTTGGAAGCTGTACATGAAATACATTTATGGAGTGCAAAAATCATCAGTTGGAAACCATACATGAAATACATTTATGGAGTGTACTTTTGCTTTTCATACTAAGTTTTCCACTCATCTGCACTTGTCTCCTCCTCTGGCCCTTGTGTTCCATCTCCTGCCTGGAGAACCTTTGCTTCTTTATGCATCAGGAAACAAACATCAAACACCCAATTTTCAAATAGACTCTATTCACCATATGATTATACAGTTTTTATACAGTACCTGATAGAGGGCTTCGGTCTCAGCCATGCTATGGACACTCTCACTCCATTCCACCTGTAGAATCCAGAGAGGCAAGGTGTCCTAGGCAAGTACAGAAAGATGTGAAACATTAGGGCATGGCGATCTCAGGTATGAGATCCAAGAGAGGGAGAAAAAAATTTATTGTCAACACTTGTGTTACAGTATCTAAAGCCAAATATGTGGTGGCTATGCAGGAGGTTTTTAAAAAGGCACTTGGAAGCAGGAAGAAAGCTAAAAGCAGAAGGTGGATGAGTTTCTCTCTCTCACTGAACAGATCCAAGCTGCTGGAACACCTTATTCTGGAGAAGAGTATAAAAGCCTTGCATTCTCAAACTTGGGTTCCCCCGACAGTGCTGAATGAAAAACTGTCATAATGCCTGGCCACAGGCCACATTGGCTGACGTTCCAGGAGATGAAATTCACAACACCGGCGAAGCACATTTGGAAAAAGGATAGTCACTTACCTTGGCTGTAGCAGCTTTAAATGCATCCTGAAAACAAGAGGCCACACCATCCCGGTTCAGCTGGAGCAGTAACTGCAGCCTCATTTCCCACATTTCCGCCATGTGGCTGAAGCGGCCGGTGGCTGCGGCCGCTGCCTCTTCAGCCTTTTCTCGGAGGTCAGCCTCCAGTAAAAGGTGAACCTGACAACATGCAAATCAAACAGAAAACATATGAGGTGCTCATAAATGGGGTCCTAAAACCCAAACCCAGCTTCCTTGTTTTATGTCGTGTCTACAAGGATCACGCAATGCGTCCTTACCCACTGTTTACAGAGAGGAGCTGACAGTAGTTGCAATTCATGCGCTCGACTGAAAACACGCAGAACCTTTTCCAGCCTCTAAAATGTGGGGGAGGGGAGAGAGAGAAGAGGAATGTTTCAATTTTACCATATAAATTAGAAACTCGGAAAATAAAACAAGAGAGAGAGAGAAGAGGAATGTTTCAATTTTAATATAAATTAGAAACTCGAAAAATAAAACAAGAGTTGGCTGGATAACTCAGTGATTTAGATCTCCAACTATGGAGAGAGAGAAGAGGAATGTTTCAATTTTAATATAAATTAGAAACTCGAAAAATAAAACAAGAGTTGGCTGGATAGCTCAGTGATTTAGATCTCCGACTATGGAGCCAGAGATCTCAATCACTGAGCTATCCAGCCAACACATTAGAACTGGAGAGTTCGATTCCCCATTATTCCTCCAAGGAGAACAGCCAGCCTGTGTAGCCTTGGGAGCCAGCTGCACAGTCCCAGGGTGCCCTCAGAAGAAAGGAAGGGTAAACCCCTTCTAAGTACTTTCTGTCTGGAAAACCCTGAAAAGGGCTTCCATAAGTCAGAATTGACCTGAAAGCACATGATGATGATGAAAAAACAAAACAGAAAGCCAGAATACTGAGGGTGGAGTTGTTCTCAAAGCCCTGGAGAATACGTCTATGTAGCTCAAATAGCACCATCAAAACAAAAGAGGGAGTAACGGGAGGCTCGGAGGAATACCACATTTTCCCAAAGTATAAAAACTACTTTAAAAGGGGGGGGGGAATCTCAGGAGGGGGGAAAAAACTAGAGAGCCCTGGGAATACAAAGGAATGCCCCATGGGCACAGCATGCTGATGCTTTGAAGGCATGAAGTCTCAGGTTCAGTCCCCAGTATTTTCAACTCAAGACTTCTGCTGCTCAGCAGAAACAGTAACGAGTAAGATGGACCAATGACCTGGCTAAGAGAAAGCAGCTTTCTATGTTCTTAGATATACAACAACCACAGGATCTTGGGTATTGCATTCACAACTGCACCACAGCCTGCAACAATTGTGTTAGGGATGTAATTGGGGGTGGTGGTGGTGTTTACTGTTGTCAGCCTGCAACAATTGTGTTAGGGATGTAATGGGGGGGTGTTTACTGTTGTTGCACTTGGATTCTAACTTTCAGAATGCTTGGAGTTCCAGCCCACAAACACAGACCTACAGACACCTACATTTTGCTGGCTTAGAGCAGGGTGTACCCCTCCTCCCAAGGCTACATGGCCTTCTCAGGCCTTTGCTTGCTATTGTTGATGTAAAAACAAAAAGCAAAAATGAAGTTGCCGCAATGCTTCCTGGGTGCCGTGATCTTGCTGCCCCATTATGCTGGGTGTCCCCAGATGTTCCTGAACTGCAACTCCCAGAAATTCTGGCCAGCACAACAAGTGGTGAGGGCTTCTGGGAATTGTAATCCAAGAACACCTGGGGACCCCAGTTTGAGAACCACTGTTCTAGAGGATGTTTCCCGGAGAACTAGGACTGCAGCATATTTCTTTTGTTTTTTACATTAACAACAGAAAGCAAAGGCTTACAGTGGTGCCTCGCATTACGTTAATTCCTTCCAGCGAAATCGCTGTAGAACAAAAACATTGTAATGCGAAAATAAAAAAACCAATTGAAACGCATTAAAACCCGTTTAATACGTTCTAATGGGCTAAAAATTCACTTTCCAGCGAAGATCCTCCATAGGGCGGCCATTTTTGGTGGCTGTCTTGCGAGGAATCTGTCCCAGAAAACAGCGGGGAGCCATTTTATTTAGCCAGCGGCCATTTTGAAACCACTGATCAGCTGTAGGAAAATCGTCGTTTTGCGAAGAATCGGTTCCCGAAGCAGGGAACCGATCATCGCAAAGTGAAAAAAGCCTATTCAGACCATCGTTTTGCGATCGCAAAAGCGTCGTCGTAATGCGGGGCAATCGTAGAGCGGGGCACGACTATATTAAAGGCTACTATTTCAAAAGACAATAGATTGAGTTGCGGGGCAATCGTAAAGTGGGGCACAACTATATTAAAGGCTCCTATTTCAAAAGACAATAGATTGAGGTTGAAAATTTATTAAGGTAAAGAATTTACCTTCTGTTTTAACTCTTCACTGTTGGTCTTCCGGTTCAATCTCTCCAAGCAAAAAGTGACATAGCATTTCCACATTTCCTCTGGAGGGTCAGAAAGGTTTTGTTAAAAACAGCAGTTTCCCTTTCGAAGAAAGCTTAACTGTTACACAACCAGGTCTCTCCCATGTTGGGAAAAGAAGTGTGCATTACTGAGACTTAGGTGGATGAGTTGGGTCGGGTGGCCCCGTCTCAGCTTTGCTCACCTGGACACCTGGCTCCAGCATCACCTTAGAACTGGAGAGGAGACGTTACTTTCATCCACAAGGATTCAGTCACTCTCAACCCTATCTGTCCTAGCACCAGTTTCAAGGGCCTATGCTTTGGGTTGGGCCAAGCAGACAAAACAGGACTGCTGCTGGTGGGCTCAGGCTCACCCACTGCCTGAGCTGATAGCTTTGGATTCTAACTTTCAGAATGCTTGGAGTTCCAGCCCACAAACACAGACCTACAGACACCTACATTTTGCTGGCTTAGAGCAGGGTGTCCCCCCTCCTCCCAAGGCTACATGGCCTTCTCAGGCCTTTGCTTGCTATTGTTGATGTAAAAACAGGACTGTTTTATGGGGGACTTCCAAGATTCACATGGAGCTGTCTGATGGGTACTGCTCAGGATTTCATGCCCAGCATGGAACTATCTCAACACATCATTTGCCTGACAAATGCGGCAGGATCCGCTCACTGTCACTGGAGAAACAAAGGATGATCTGCTTTCAAGCAAGTTTTTCTGTACTGTAACTCCACTGTCGGGATCAGATCATTTCCTTGTAAAGTTTGATTTAATGGCACCAGATTCTCCCTGCAGGAATGAGGACCCATTAAAATGGTTCCGCTCACTGTCACTGGAGAAACAAAGGATGCTTTCAAGCAAGTTTTTCTCTACTGTAACTCCACTGTCGTGATCACATCATTTCCTTGTGAAGTTTGATTTGATGGCACCACATTCTCCCTGCAGGAACGAGGACCCATTAAAATGGTTTGCCCCTGAGAGACCTATGGAATCCAAAGAATTTTTGTGTGTTCTGGGGAATTTCCAGCTGACAGGGCTGGTAATTTAGTCATGACCTTGGCCTTGCTATAGAATAGCAATCTGAGACCTGGATATTTGAAGGAACTCCTTTCCCTACACAAACTCTTAAGGTCTGCCACAGAGGCCCTTCTCCATAAGCTACCACTGAGAACAGTTCCAGAGCACCAACTGGAAAATGTCCTCTCAGTGGAGGCTTAATTGGGGCAGACATTGGCAACTGTTTAGTGCTACATAAAAACATATTTGTTAAAGTATTTGGGGGTTGAGGATCATGGCCTACAGCCCATTTTAATGCACCAGCTTTAACATTTTAATTTTGTATTTTAAACTGTTTGATTTTAAATTGCTTTAAACAAGCTTACATTCTGAAATCGTTTGATACAATTTAGTAATCCACCCTGAAATTCCGTGATAAGAAGGGGCTGTAATTATTTTAAAGACAGAAAAAAGAATCCAACAACTAAGCAATGTCTACCAAATCTATTTAAAGTGACAAAACAGTCACAAGATCAAATTGCTACTTCACTACAATTCTCTTTTCTATTTTACAAGTCACCAGCTCATGGGTAGAAAATACTTTCAGCCTAAGGGACCATTTCAAATCAATTCTCGGAGGCCACATTCTACAGGTGGGTCGTACCAATTACACAAACATAGCAACAGATGAAAGCTCTTGCTGCCAGTAACATGAATATTAGGGGAGCTCTTTCAATCACATTGGGAAGCTAACAAATGACAATGAAAGGATGAGGGGATGGTGGCCATCCGCAAAACCCTACAGGACTGAATTCAGCCACCCAGCCTGAAACGCCTCACCCTGTTCTATAAAAATATGCTAGGAAACACTGTCGTACTCAAGTCCTTAGTTCTGTAGTTGAGTTTGGGATCTCTACTACAAAGTGGGGGGGGGTGTACGTGCAAAAAGTGAGAAGACAAGCAGTAGTTAAATCTCTGGATCTAATTTCTAACCTGTGGGAAGAGAAGCGACAGCCTCTTCAAACACCGCACAGCATCGTTCTTCTTTGCGGGCCACGTCCAGTGCCTTTGAATGTTTTGATACATGTTCCAATGATGGCAAGCCTTCTGTCTCCAGTTCTCGCCGTGCCATGTAGTCCCACACATGAGGATCGCCGGCACAATCTGCCTGCAAGCTAACAGGAAAACTGCCTTGTGCCATGATCTGTGGATCTGCCACCCCCTTGCTACGTAGACCGCTAGAGTCACTGAACTTCTGCTCCAGAACAAGCGTGCCACTGATTCTATGCGGTAACCTTTTGCCATTTTTCTGAAACATTTTGTGCAGAGCACAGAGCGAGAGAGAAACTGCTTCCGGTGAACAGTGCCAAACAGGCTCAAGCCTGCCACCTCCCCATGGAATAAGGCAAGGGATGGAGGTTGAAAGAAATGTCCCACTCCAGACGGCAGGGACAGGAGGACGGCACCTTTGTTCAACAGCAAAGTCATGGAGATCTCAGTGCTCCTGCTGTGTCCCTGCCCCCACCCCACACTTACTTGTCCAATATTTCTTTCTGAAGCTCTTGGGTAAAATCGAAAAGTTTTGCAACTGTAAGCAGTGACAGAAGAAACTCTGCACCTAGGGTGAAGAGACAGCAATTAAGATTTGGTTTCTTGAGCTTCAGAAGTGCCCACTTGCCAAGGTGTCGTATGTTTAAAGGGATTCGAAAATTATTCTAAACCATTCACTCCATAAATATAAAATATGTAATCCAACCTTTAATCTGAGGCAGAATTATGCTTTGTGAAGTGTCAGCTTCACCCAAGAGACTGAATAGAATCTTGCCTACTTATCTACATGACTGCTTACCTTTCTCTTCAGGCAGGCTTTCCCTCAGTGACTGGAGGCCTGAGGGGCATTTTTAAATGGATGGTCATGCCATACTACTTTGAGTGCATTTTTTGATATTGCCTTTGTTTACTGTTTCTCAGAGTGGTATTGGTTTGACCCTATTTAGTGCCTGTATACTGTTTTGAGCTTTAAATATTGTCTTTTAATGATGTCAGCTGCCTTAGGTCCTCCTTAAGGAGAAAGGCAGGGGAAATATACTTTAAATAAATACATAAACAAATATATGAACGCTTGCATTTTCTGTACTGCCTGTTAATAACAGCCCGCATAATTCGGTCATCTGTCCCAGCATCCCATCTCCAAGAGTGGCCAGGCCCGGACACTTCAGGGACCGTAAACAAAATGCCACATGCCCTTACTCCATGGCAGGAACTGGAATGAAATGAACCAGCTCCATGTTGAAGGTACCAAGAAGACAGAACAGTTCATAAAACAGAAGAAAAAAAAACATCAGCTTACCTTTGATTTTTTGAATAGCATTTCTGTAGACAATCCGAGCCATTTCACCATTAAGCACATCTTCAGAATAACTGAATTCACCCTAAAAATTGTAGATAAAGCCCTCTTTTAATTACGTTTTCTCTTCCTGGATAAGACAACATTTATGTTACACAACGAAGATTCTTGTTTCCACTAACAAAGCTGTGAGCTGAAGCTCCCCGAGGCTCCCGTGTACGCCTTTGCACACCATATACGCTTCCATCTCGGGAAAATGTTCTGCCTAGAGTAACAAGAGCTGCATATTCCTGGATACTGAAGAAAAGAGTGGCACCCCATTTTTGATCAGTGCTGTGTAGGCAACATAGAGGCACCCAGGTGAAAAGCACAGGCATCCGCACTTGCCCTAGAGCAGCAGTTGGCACGTTGTGACCTTCCAGATGTTGTTGCGCAAGAACTCCCATCACTCCCCACAGCTGGCCAGCTAGAACCGATGGAAACTGCCCACCTCTGCATAAGAGGAAGCATAAGATCACAGAATAAAAGGGTTGGAAGGGGCCTATAAGGCCATCATGTTCAATCCCCTGCTCAGTGCAGGAATCCAAATCTAAGCAGATCTGGCAGATGGCTGTCCAATTTTCCTTTAAATGCCTCCACCACTGGAGCACTCACCACCTCCTGAGGTAACTGGTTCCAGTGTTGTACTGCTCTTTGAGAATGTTTTCTTCATATTCCCCCTAAATTTGGCTTATTGTAACTTGAGTCCGTTACTACGTGTCCAGCACTCTGGGATGATTGAGAACAGATACTGCCCCTTCCTCTGTATGACTATCTTTCTCCATGTTTGGCCTCTGATTCCTGTAGGCTACAAAGCAGAGGCCAAAGGTGAAGAAAGCAAACTTTCCTGAGGAAAAAAAATGCAGCTATTTTCAATTAGAGGTCCAGTGCAGGGGGCATGAAAAATACCCCTGACCACATCACAAGAAAGTAATAATTAGCCAAATCTGTATATGGGGCTGGGGATCAAAGAAGATATAGCCCAGCAACATCTGGAGGGCGACAACTCCCATCAGTCTTAAACAGTAGTTAAAAGTAATGGATCACAAAGTTGCACTCAGGCAATCTATGGCAGGCTTCACATTTCCCATCTGGAAACAACAGAAACACCTTTATCTCTACTGGTTTTTGGTGGCCAGTAATACAGAGGGACAAATGAGCTTGTTTTCACCTAGGAGAATTTCGCAGGCTATATGTTCAATCCAATATAAATACATGAATTAACAGGAAACACAGCAAAGGACTTTTTAGACAAATATGACTTCTTCAAAAAAGGAAGATGAGTCGCTGAAATGCAATCCATTTTACATGTTGTGTTGTGTTTGTTAACATCCAGACAAGCAACTATAACCCCTTTCATTGGTCATCTGTGTCATACACTCCACATTTAACATAAATATGGAAAAACATATGCTGTATGAGATTACATTGTGCCAGTGGCTTTGCCCAGTTACACAGACTGCTTTCAAGCCCCTCCTGCACATTGAAGACAATTCTAAAACCAAGAAGGATGGCTTAGATTAATGCCTTTGCTTTTAGTCTAATACACAGATACAGAGTGCAGTAAACCTCTGGGTACAGTCATTATCATATCAAAAACCAAAATGTCTAATACTACAACAGAACCATGTAAAGTGTGTGTATGGGGGGGGCAAAGTAAAGCTTTGTGGGTTGGATTAATGTAGTCCTCAAGGTTGTTTTTTTCTTTTTTCCAGATCTCTTAATGGTCTCATGCAGAAACAAAACAAAAAACAAACAAAACCTCAGCCATAAAGGTTCAGGTTCTGCTCCTGGAAACAATTCTACAATTGTTTTCAAGTAACATATATTTTGTGGGCTATTTGCAGGGTCTCCAAATTGATCTCCCAGGCCCAAAGAATTCAACCAGACCTAAGTGGCACGATTTGCTCCCTGATGCAAACTTACAACAACGTAGACCTCTAATAACTTACCAAGTCCATCTTTGCTTGTTCAAATTCCTTCTTTTCTTTCCTTTGCTTTTCTGCATGCATTAGTTCCATTCTAAAATACTGCAGAAACAAAGAAAGGCAAAATTTAAAATGCTCAGGCCAGGGTGCCAAACAGTCATCCCAAAGACAGCTCCAAAGTCCTATTTTAACTCCTGGTTAGGAAGAGTGCTTTATTCATACTGGTGCTGATGAAACTGAAGACGGGACTCTGGCAGAAGGAAAATATGCTAACCCAATATTAAGAGCAAGGTCCTCAACATCATGCCCTCCGGATACATGGGGCAACAGCTCTATGATTCCAGGGAGCAGCTTCCAGGCTGGTGGTGAGAGCTATAACCCAACACCTCTGGAGCCCACTAAGTAGGAAAATGCTGCTTACTCATATTCAGGGACTACCACTGTGATAGCCTCGAAAGAAAGAAAGAAAGAAAGAAAGAAAGAGAAAGAAAGAGAGAGAGAGAGAGAGAGAGAGAGAGAGAGAGAGAGAGAGAGAGAGAGAGAGAGAGAGAGAGAGAGAGAGAGAGAGAGAGAGAGAGAGAGAGAGAGAGAGAGAGAGAGAGAGAGAGAGAGAGAGAGAAAGAAAGAAAGAAAGAAAGAAAGAAAGAACAAGAAAGAAAGAAAGAAAGAGAGAGAGAGAGAAAGAGAGAAAGAAAGAAAGAAAGAAAGAACGAAAGAAAGAACGAAAGAAAGAAAGAACGAACGAACGAACGAAATCTACTGTACAGTATTTTCTCCCATCACTGTTCTTGCAAGATAAAAGCAAAACAACAACACCAAAGCGTACTGCTTATATACCGCCTCACAGCACTTAAAGCACTCTCTGGGTGATTTACAAGTTAATTATTCAGGCTACACATTGCCCCCCACCGCCCCCAATCTAAAGTACTTGCCCCGGAAAATACTTCAAGAAATGTTAACACTGTGATTACTTTCAGATTAGTTTCAACACGGCTATTTCACGCCAAAAGAAGCTGTCAGCAACCGAGAAATACCAGGATATACTACAGATGCAGGGACCAGAATCCTGCTGGTGATTATGTAAGGCTAATGACATCATTGGTTGCTACGAGGACTAGCAGCATCAATTTTCAGACCTTAAAGGCTTCCCTCCCGTCCTGAGGCCCTCAAAGGCTTTCCCGTGTCAAAAGGACCCCTAGGGAACCTAGAAACCTTTGGCGGAGGAAGAATAAGAAACTTTTAACTAAATATAAAAGGTTGCAATTGATGACATCATCAGTCTTACACACACTGACCAGCGCCAACAGGTTCCAGCCATTGTAAACGAAGCTGCATGTTAACATCTTCACAGCAATCTTTTCTCCCAACTGCAATTTCACACTCTCTTGATGACTTAAACACCCCTGCCCCCCCCGAAAAAAATAATAATTTTGAACTGCCTCCAATTAAAAAAAAACACCCGCTACTAGTCTTTTTTTCCCTTTCCTGGTCAGGACAACTAGACTCCATGTTTCTCCTGGCAGAAACATTCAGTCTAAAAGTGCACCACAGCGAACTAGAACCTCAAGGTTCTCGAAGGCCTCACATGATCTTCCTACAGCTGCAGCTGTGTAAACATAAAGTACAAAAACATGCTCAACCCAGCAAGGAAAGAACCAGGGGAGGAAGTAGGAGAATCACATTACCTCTTGATAAAGTTTGGGGCACTCTGGATGGAAACGCAAGGCACGGAGGAACAACTGCCGGGCACTTTCTGACGACAAGCGGTCCTCCATTTCCCATTTTGCGGCCATAATCCACAAAGCTACAAAGGAAGAGACAGATGCTACCACTGAATATGGCCATGGCAAAGCGAGATGACAAATAAAAAAAATCTCCATTTATTCTTTATTTTATACATTTCGCAAATATTCTTTGCTCAAAATTTCCTCTTGTGTGAGGGGCAATATCTTTTCTGCTCCCATTTCAGGTGTTTTAGGGTGGGACGCGCCTATTTTCAAAACTAGAAGTCATTCAGAACTGCCCCTCCCCACAACAGTAAAGCTTGTTTCCTCCACCCACTATATAGCGTGGGAGTTTTCTCCAATGTAGGTGGGGACTGGGAGTCGCTTCCCAGGGTCCAGTGATGGCACATGCAGCCCTTAGACCTCCAGGAGGTGGCACCAGACATTATTTCTAGCCAAATGATAAACTATGTACTGCACATGTGCATTGTTCAAGATTGCCACTGTAGATCATCCATATCACTTCTGCAATGCTTACAAAGCAACTGTATAGTTGAAAACTAAGCAGTAACCACACCTGCAAAACACCTGGATTAGTCAAAAACACGTGTTCATCCCATATTTTCAGACAAATCAACTGCTATTCAAATAGACCTCAAGTATATTCTAGTCTCAGACTCTTCTGACAACATGTTAGGTATGTATTAACAAACAGACGCATGTAGGAAGCCCAGTCTTCACTTCACTCAGGTGAAGACTAAAAACCTGCCTCACTGAGAAGCGAACTAACAGGCATTACTAGACAGCTTTCAAGCTGAACAAATTTGAGAATGGCCTGACCCCAGGAAAGAGTGAGTGATGCTATTATTTCAAGAAAACCCAGAGACTAAGATGGCCTGACCCCAGGAAAGAGTGAGTGATTTCAAGAAAACCCAGAGACTAATTTAGCTGAGATACGCTGCAAACCTCCGGTACTGACCAGGCACCCCTCTTTCCCATAAAGCAGAGATTGGGAGCCTTTAGCATGGAAGCACCCAATGAATGTGTCCCCATCCAGCCCACAAGTTTCTTTTGCCAGAGAGAACCAATTAGGAGCCGTTTAAAGCCCAGAAAATCTTTACGTGGAACTGAGCACTGGTGCAAAGACTGGGAAAATCAGTTTACCCCTCATGAGACACACACAGTATGTGTGTGGTTGTGCGCTGCCCATTTGGGGAAGAATTTGGCCCAGCCTGGTCCCATCTGCTTTATTTGGCCCTGCCTACTGCTCTCAGTGGTGCTGGAGGAGACTCTTGAGAGTCCCCTGGACTGCAAGGAGAACAAACCTATCCATTCTGAAGTAAATCAACCCTGAGTGCTCACTGGAAGGACAGATCCTGAAGCTGAGGCTCCAGTACTTTGGCCATCTCATGAGAAGAGAAGACTCCTTGGAAAAGACCCTGATGTTGGGAAAGTGTGAAGGCAAAAGGAGAAGGGGACGACAGAGGACGAGATGGTTGGACAGTGTCATCGAAGCGACCAACATGAATTTGACCCAACTCCGGGAGGCAGTGGAAGACAGGAGGGCATGGCGTGCTCTGATCCATGGGGTCACAAAGAGTCGGACATGACTAAACGACAATAACATATGGGGTCACGAAGAGTTGGACACAATGACAATAACACTGTTCTCAGTCCTATAAACTGCTGGAATGCAGCCCTCATCTCAAACTGGCGCTTGACTTCCAGGCATAAGAAGCTTTTCTATCCTATATTTAAATGCAAAGCAACCCACTCATATCTTTGTTTAGTAGATAGCATGCCAACCTAGTTCTTCAGTTCCAACTTCTAGAACTGTCAAGGCATCCTAGAGTGTTTTCCAATACTTCCTTCAGTGTGGCTCAATTTGCCTTCCCCTGGACGCTTATCCTGCCTGCTTAGTTGCATGCAAACTTGATAGTACCTGGTTTGTTCGGATGAAGCGCTAACATGGATGAAAACACCTTACTCAGCTGCATTTTCCTGTTCTGTTGGGAGACAAAAGACCTCATTCACATTCATGTCTTGTCTTCCTTTCAACTGGAAACAGAGTCACCTTCATGACAAAAGACTGAAACACTGGGGGTTTGCCATCATAAAATGTCACACACATTGTTTCTGCAGCACAAGCAACTCTATTTTTAATGTCAACATTTCCATTAATAAATGCAACGTGTGGTTCGCAATTTTTTAAAAAATAGCACCATGGCTGCAGAAGAAATTCCAGGCAAACAATGCCTCTGGGTTTCCCAGAAGAGTATACGTCTCCTTTTCCTTTGGCAGATTCATAGGGAGTCTATCAGGATCAATTCATCCAACAATTTTTGACACAACTCTTCTGGACGCATAGGGTGAGGACACCACAGCAGTACTTTTCACCTGATGTAATTTCCAGCCTTAGCAGAAAAGTAAAAGGGCCACTTTCCTAACCTCCTTGGGAAACCACCTTGCTTTCCAAAACTTAGAGAGAAAAATCTCTTTCTGGCAACTGTTTCAACATTAAAAACAACAACAACAACTGGTCATGAGCACCAGCCCATCACTAATAGGGTCGATTTCTCTTCTTAACCAATTCCCTGCAAGGACTGCTGTTCTGTATATCGCACGTACTAGCCGTTGCAAGTTCAGTCACATATACCATCACCTGCTTAGGACCAGCAGGTAAAAAGATCAATTGATGATCTACTTAGGACCAGCAGGTAAACTCTGGAAACAAGTCCAGTCATTTCAAGAAGGTTTTCTCAAGTTAACACAAAATGCCAAGACTCACTTGAAGGAAAGATTTGTACACCAACGCTTACATCCTGGTACTTACCCATTTCTTGCAAAAGGCAATATAAGACAACCACAGCTGAAGGTCATCCTAGTAGGATGAAACCAAGGGGAGAAAGGATAAGCTCAGAACACAAGTAATATGTATATAGCACAGACTGTTTCTTTCTATAACAGATAGCACTAAAACCTTAAGGATCAAGAGTCAGAGAAAACTACTGCTTCAACAGGCAGTAGGTGAGAGATAAATCTAGGGAACAAAAGAGGACCATCCATTTATGATCTTCCCTAGCCAACCACTGACAGTCTCATATTTTGAAGCAAGAACTGCCACTATTTTAAACATGGGGAAAATACAAAGACATATTTTGCGACTTCAAAATGTGCAATGGGTGACTTGGTTCTCATTTCTCCCCCTCTTATTCAATGTTTTGTTTGACATTTGGAGCACATTCCATTTGGGAAGTGTGGAGCAACTGGAAGACAGCTTTTTAATCCCTTTTGCAAAAAAGAAAAAGAAGAAGAACAAAAGCCCAACTAATCACATTTAATTGGAATACCCATTATTTCCTGACCTTGGCTCTGATCCCACAAGGCAAAGACTAAGAGAACGGTCTAACAAAACATCCTTGGTTGGATCTGTGAGTAGTCTAAGGCCAGCCCTTTCGTTTGGCAGCTGGCACTGGGGAAGAGCAGTGCCAATCCATCAGCTGTTTGTCCAGAGTTCTGACTCTTCCACTCCCTTGGAGACAGAACTATCTGCACCCCTTCAGTCAGACACACACACACCCCAAAACTACTCCTCCACCTGCAGGTGCAAGACAGATGCTGTCCTGTTGTCCATATTGAAATGAGATTCAACTGTCAGTCCAGCTGACTTCTATCCATGGAATGGAGGGCAAGAGCATCTTATCTTGCCTCAGGTGGCAACATTTTTTGGGTTACTCTTGCCCTACTTCACTAAGAATGCCTCACTGTAAGATCTTGCTTATGCTCAACTTCTCTCCTCCCACCACCTAAGCAACAGGCGCCTACAGGATCAATGGAAACAACACCCATGGCTGAGCGGACCAGTGGCCAAGAACACTCAAAACATATGTGGCAACATGCACGGTAAGCGTGGAAGTATCCAATCACTCTACTGAAGTTTGGCAAAAGATTACAGAGATTCGGCAGAGCAAATACCAAGTGGTGAAGCAGGCATACAAGAGCAAAGGTTAGGACCTGATGGAGGAGACTGAATAATGCCACTTCCACAGTATTATTCTCTTTCAGGCTACTGCTGATTTGTTAACCTTCATCAATTGTATGTCCTGTTTTTGGATAAAGTGGCTTAGGCATCTGGCTGCGGAGCCAGAGGTTGGCAGTTTGATTCCACACTGTGCCTTCAGCAAGCTACGAAGTTCTAGAGTGTGCCCAGAAGAATGAAATGGTGAAACATTTCTGTGTATTCTCTACCTAGAAAACCCTGAAAAAGGGTCCCCATAACTCAGAATTGATTTGACAGCACATTACTGTATTTGAATATTTACATATTCAAAACCTAACTGTTCTGGCCATACGTATGTGAACCTTGCATTTAGATCCCCTTTCTCCACAATTAATGGGGTACTCAATTGAGCCCGAGAGACAAGTCATACAAGACGAAAATAAAGAAATGAATGCATCTCTCTTTCTCCTGAATCCATACACAGAATTCTATTAGCCTCACCATCCTGACTCACAATGGGGCTTTATTCCTCCTTTCTCCCTGGTGCAACCCTACCCACTGTCTGAACGCCTGCTCCGAAGGGTTTCCTAGCACCCCAGGGACGTTTTTGAGGAACGGGTACAGGAGAGGAGGGAGCTGTTAGGGGCAATTTAACCCCCTTTCCCCTATGCTGTTAAAAGCAGATCTGCCTGTGGAACATCTTGTTTAAGTTCTTACTGGTCATCCCACCTGATTTATTTTATTAATAAGCCAAAGTACCCCCCTCTAGGATCTAAATGATACGCCTGTACAAATGAAATGCACACATTTGATGCTGTCACTTATTTCATTTTGTACCAATTTTACTGATATCACGTTAGACAAGAAATCACACAAAACTGTCTAATGGGATAAAGTAAAACAGTCTTACTTTCCATTTGGCTGTGGCACGTTTGAAGACACCATCTATTCTCTGCACAATGGAATACTCAATCTCATCTTTCTTAAATGAATAGCCAATTCGCTAGAGAGAAGGAAAACAGGGTTACCAACACTACATGCCCTGCAACCTGTAGAAGGTTCTCTTTATTTTTCCACTTTACTTACAGCTCTTCTTTTCTTAATCAGTTCCAAAAGATTGATTTCATACTGTGAAAGAAAAAAATTCAGAAGATCAACACACAATTTATTCACTTATTTGACTTATATCCTAGATTACTTCATGAAAACTGGGGTTTAGGACAACTAACAATATATCAAGCATTGCTTAACTAAGCAGACGAGCAGAACAAAGCCATACATTTATTGAAGAGTACAGGATTGAAAGGAAGGGTTCTTTGGGGTGTAGCATTTGCTCTCCTGGGTGTATCTGATTCAGCACTGATCTTATTGGTCTTGTCCCCAATAGCCATACAACGTTAATCTTGTCTTGCTTAGTACGTACTGTGATACTATTCATGACCTTGTGTTACTTTTCATGATTCCTGAAAGCATAATTCATTTTGGTATAGTCCTGTTCTGGGATGGAGTTTAATACTACGTACGGCACTTTCTATTTAAAGCTGATGTCCAATGCAAGCTTCCTGGTCAGAAGCTTTCAATTAGCATTCAAACAGTACACTGTTATACTAACACTGAAAAAAAAATAACCAAAAAGCTCCAGATGAGAAGCTCCAGTAGAATTGCGCAGCTCACAAACACTTTTTTGAAAGATTTCCTACAGAGAAATGGTTTTCTTAAAGGGAAGAACAGCTTTTTAAAGGCGAGTTTCGATGTGAGTCACAGGAAACTCCATGATTCATTGCAATGAACATTGTCTGGAGCAGCCCTAAACTGGCTGCCTATAATACAGAGGTGAATCAATAATGATTTCAAAAGGGCATTAATCGTCCCAATTCCTAATCATTTGAGATACTAATACCCAACTCATTTTCCCAGTGCCAATGCTGGTAGAAAAGTACCAAGTGGTGAAGCAGGCATACAAGAGCAAAGGTTAGGACCTGATGGAGGAGACTGAATAATGCCACTTCCACAGTATTATTCTCTTTCAGGCTACTGCTGATTTGTTAACCTTCATCAATTGTATGTCCTGTTTTTGGATAAGGTGGCTTAGGTATCTGGCTGCAGAGCCAGAGGTTGGGAGTTTGATTCCACACTGTGCCTTCAGCAAGCTACGAAGTTCTAGAGTGTGCCCAGAAGAATGAAATGGTGAAACATTTCTGTGTATTCTCTACCTAGAAAACCCTGAAAAAGGGTCCCCATAACTCAGAATTGATTTGACAGCACATTACTGTATTTGAATATTTACATATTCAAAACCTAACTGTTCTGGCCATACGTATGTGAACCTTGCATTTAGATCCCCTTTCTCCACAATTAATGGGGTACTCAATTGAGCCCGAGAGACAAGTCATACAAGACGAAAATAAAGAAATGAATGCATCTCTCTTTCTCCTGAATCCATACACAGAATTCTATTAGCCTCACCATCCTGACTCACAATGGGGCTTTATTCCTCCTTTCTCCCTGGTGCAACCCTACCCACTGTCTGAACGCCTGCTCTAAAGGGTTTCCCAGCACCCCAGGGACGTTTTTGAGGAACGGGTACAGGAGAGGAGGGAGCTGTTAGGGGCAATTTAACCCCCTTTCCCCTATGCTGTTAAAAGCAGATCTGCCTGTGGAACATCTTGTTTAAGTTCTTACTGGTCATCCCACCTGATTTATTTTATTAATAAGCCAAAGTACCCCCCTCTAGGATCTAAATGATACGCCTGTACAAATGAAATGCACACATTTGATGCTGTCACTTATTTCATTTTGTACCAATTTTACTGATATCACGTTAGACAAGAAATCACACAAAACTGTCCAATGGGATAAAGTAAAACAGTCTTACTTTCCATTTGGCTGTGGCACGTTTGAAGACACCATCTATTCTCTGCACAATGGAATACTCAATCTCATCTTTCTTAAATGAATAGCCAATTCGCTAGAGAGAAGGAAAACAGGGTTACCAACACTACATGCCCTGCAACCTGTAGAAGGTTCTCTTTATTTTTCCACTTTACTTACAGCTCTTCTTTTCTTAATCAGTTCCAAAAGATTGATTTCATACTGTGAAAGAAAAAAATTCAGAAGATCAACACACAATTTATTCACTTATTTGACTTATATCCTAGATTACTTCATGAAAACTGGGGTTTAGGACAACTAACAATATATCAAGCATTGCTTAACTAAGCAGACGAGCAGAACAAAGCCATACATTTATTGAAGAGTACAGGATTGAAAGGAAGGGTTCTTTGGGGTGTAGCGTTTGCTCTCCTGGGTGTATCTGATTCAGCACTGATCTTATTGGTCTTGTCCCCAATAGCCATACAACGTTAATCTTGTCTTGCTTAGTACGTACTGTGATACTATTCATGACCTTGTGTTACTTTTCATGATTCCTGAAAGCATAATTCATTTTGGTATAGTCCTGTTCTGGGATGGAGTTTAATACTACGTACGGCACTTTCTATTTAAAGCTGATGTCCAATGCAAGCTTCCTGGTCAGAAGCTTTCAATTAGCATTCAAACAGTACACTGTTATACTAACACTGAAAAAAAAATAACCAAAAAGCTCCAGATGAGAAGCTCCAGTAGAATTGCGCAGCTCACAAATACTTTTTTGAAAGATTTCCTACAGAGAAATGGTTTTCTTAAAGGGAAGAACAGCTTTTTAAAGGCGAGTTTCGATGTGAATCACAGGAAACTCCATGATTCATTGCAATGAACATTGTCTGGAACAGCCCTAAACTGGATGCCTATAATACAGAGGTGAATCAATAATGATTTCAAAATGGCATTAATCGTCCCAATTCCTAATCATTTGAGATACTAATACCCAACTCATTTTGCCAGTGCCAATGCTGGTAGAGCCAAAATAGCATCGTGCCTACTCAAGAAGGAAATATCAGCTTGGGAGAATACCAACATTTGCAGAAGCTGTGTTAAAAAGGGACAATCGCTATCACCAAAATGGGAAGGAAGAAAACAAGGGGAAAGAATGCAAGCCAAATACAAGGAGCCTGGTAACAGCACCCAAATCTTTCTGTCATTAGCCTGTGCCAATTCAAAGAGTTTCCCATATTCCTGCCAGCATGGATGAAATATCCCTCCTTGTCTCCTAGCCTTATATACATCTTGAATGGCAGGGATTCCACAAACTCCCCATCCTGGGCTACACCCTTAAAAATATACTGAGGAGATAAAAAACATCACAGTTCTGCTTAAGAAAGTTACCTGAATGTAACTGATAAAGTCTTCCTTGTATAGTATCCTCCGTTGTATTTTATACTCAAGAGCTGAGGATTTCTTAATAACTGCCCTGTAGAAATGTAAAAAAGCAGAATTCTTTCACAATTCCTCAGCCACACCACATACATATACCATTAAGGGCTTGGTTTTACTTTAGCTGAGTTCATTAACTTTAGCTAAACCAGAGATAAAGAATGTGTGGTCTGTCAGATGTTCAGTCAATAGTGAAGAATGATGGGAGCTGCAGTCTGGTAAGACCTGCCTTCCCTGTTCTATAGCCTTGCTAGCTTGTTTTCAACATTAATATAGGTTGGCTTCTAAACCAGAATTGACTTGATCACACGTGATGATGATTAACACAATCTGACAGAATAAAACATCCAAATTGTACACATTGATACTATCTTACTTTTATTTGCATCATTCGTTCTACTCACAGAATATAGTTTTGCATTCAAAACCTGCACGGTTTAGATAGGAAGTTGTAAGACTGGAAAAGAATGGCAGATAAGTTACACACATGATATGAACAGAGCACAGTAGCTTATTGGTGATGGCAAAACCAGGGGAAAACAGATACAGTAGTTCATTCATGTTCCTGCTCCCTAATCACAATCTCCATTTCCTCTCAAATTGGCTTCTTAGTTTTATTAGCCGGTGCCTCCATATTTGGAAATACAGTGGTGCCCCGCATAGCGACGATAATCCGTGCACCCAAAATCATCGCTACACAGATTCGTCACTATGCGAAATAAAAAAGCCCATAGGAATACATTAAAACCTGTTTAATGCGTTCCTATGGGCAAAAAACTTACCTTTATGCGAAAATCCTCCATACTGCCGCCATTTTCGCTGCCTGGTAAGCGAGGAATCCGGGCAAAAACACAGCAGGTGGCTATTTTTTTTACCCGGCGGCCATTTTGGAACTACTGATCAGCTGTTGGGAAATCATCGTTATGCGAAAATCGATAAGCATAACAGCTTACCGAACATCGCAAAGCGATTTTTTCCCATTAGAAACATTGCAATGCGATCGCAAAAACGATTGCAAAAAATCCGTCGCTATGCGGATTCGTCGTTAAACGGGGTGCCCATTAAGCGAGGCACCACTGTACTTTTTTCATATTCTAGAGGTTCAGGAACTGGTTTATATTAAACCAGTTTCTTTATTAGCACAACCCAACCCTATATTCTAGTGAGTGCTGCAATATTTATGGAGAAAGTGAACATTTTCTCAGGTTAGGAGAGTGAATTAACTAGCACAAGCTAGCTGTCCTTAGGGATCTGCTGTATTGTATCCAGTGTGTCAAAGCTGGCATTTGGATTTACAAAGTGAGCAAGTTCTGTTTGTTTGTTTGTTTATTGCATTTATATGCCGCCCATCTAGACATAGTCTACTCTGTTCACTGTATGCCTGTATGTAGTCACTCTTTTCATTATAGACATAAACACACCTTCTCTGGAACTATCTGGTTTAGGAAAAAGAACAATAAAAAGGATGGTATCAAAAGTTTATCAGCATATATGTAGGTTTTCAGGCAGGCTTTTTTTTATCAATAAGGGAGATGGCCTAGGGTACTGTTTATGAAATTTAGACATTTTTAAAATGTTTTGAAATGTTGTTTTAAATCTTGTTTAATATTTGTTTTTAAAATAGTTTTGTATAATATTTTAAATCCATCATTGTACAGTTTAATTGTTGTGAGTCACCTTGAGTCCCCTATGTGGAGAAAGGCTGCACATAAATAATATAAATAATAATTAATAATAATGTATTGTCCCCAATGTTTAGGAATGAAGCCTTCATTTAGCAAGTCTAACCATCTTTTAAGTATATCACAGTTTTTATTTTCAATTTATTGACTAAGCCATTTCAACAATGAACTCAATTTTGTTTCAAAACCAGACTCAACAATGTGCACAGAAAATAATCTACCCTTGTAATGTGAGGAAGTAATTACTGTATTTCAACGCAGCCATCAGGTTTGACCTCTAGATCAAGAATTTGAATGCAGGCTGCAATACTTCATGACCTTTCTCATGAATTTCCTGTAGACAAGGCTATTTTGGGTCGATTTTATCCAAGCAGAAAAATATACGGAGAAGAACAATGAATCAGAGTGTTCTCACAAAGATTTAAGTGGGCCGTCTTTTACGTACTCAGCTCACGTCTTAACTCCTTTAGAGCTGTTAGTCAGAATGCAACTTCCGCAAAAATTAATCAGCCCTTCACAACAAAATAAATACTAAGCATATCAGGTGGAAGTGTGTAATTCCAGCTGCAACTCCAATCAGAGTTAATTGCCGGGAAACCGGAAGTACGGATCTTTAGTGGCTCTTCTAAAACGCTCATTTAATTCGTCCAAAACCACTACGTCTCGCACACCCACTAGAGTGGGGATTTTACTTCCGAACCAAAACTATAGGTAAACCTCCCGCACTTTACTTTTAAATTCCACCCCTCCCCAAAAAAGACCCGCTTTTAAATCTCCCATCTCCTATGAAAACGTGGTACTCCCTTGTTTGCTTCTCTGCTACTAGGATCGCTCTCCCTCCGGCAATCCATGATCCGATTCCCCCCCAGCCCTAGCTCACCGGATCTCCTTGCGAGTAAAGAGCCCCACTCTCTCCAGCTGCTCAAGCTCAGGGATCCGGTCTTCTATGCGCTGCTCGCTCCTCTCCGCCATGCCTGCCTGCCTGCCTGCCGGGCCACTTCAACCCACCTCTGAAAGGAGCTACAGAAGAAGCACGTGGGAAAAGACTCCCCCCACCCTCGGTTTCCGGCAGGCGGAGAGTCACGGCCTTTCTCTTCCGCCGAGGCTGGGCGCTGGCTTTCGCCTGCTGCCTTCGTGCGGCTCCCGGAGGAACGACAGCCTGGTGGGGCTCCCTTCGGGTAGAATGAGGGGGAGGAGGAGGCGCTGAGGCCACACAGCCGTTCAGACGTCCCAGTCTCGTTGGTCTGAAATGCCCCCCCTTTTTTTTTTTTTGCAGGAACGCACAACCTTTTTGTCCTTGAGAGCTACCTATGATGGGGACGTGATGGTTGGGGACCGTACCCACGTGCTTAAAACTTATAAAACGCTTTCGTCGTCGTTTAGTCATGTCCGACTCTTCGTGACCCCATGGACCAGAGAACGCCAGGCTCTCCTATCTTCCACTGCCTCCCGGAGTTGGGTCAAAATAAAACTCTTTGCTTTATAGTAAAAAAAATATAAAGAAGACAAAAATGTTGTGGCACCTTAAAGACGGACTGCTGCTATATTGTGATGTGAGCTTTCCTGGACAAGTCCACCTCCTCAGATAAAAATATAACAGTCTTTTTGGTGTCACAACATTTTTGACTTCTACTTTTATTTTTCTTGCGGTTTTGCCTGATAGCCAGGGTGGACTAACAGAGCTGTCTCTCCTAAAATTCAAAATTTAACATTAACAGCATGAAGAAGGCGACACATAGAAAGAACCCAGAAGTAGGGACTGGAAAGCCTGATTTAGTGGGGAAAGTGTGAGGAGGCGACCCTAGTTTACAAATTAATTTTACTGCAGGCATAGGTCAGGACAAAACTCTAGCCCTACAGAGCTATGTCATAGGCATCCTTCAGTCTCGGGAGACTATGGTAACATGCTCTGGATGGAGTACTTGGAACAGCGTCTAGTGTTTTGACACTGTACGCAAAGCTGGAGTGTCCTCTCCAGGGCACGAAGACTGCGTAAAATAATATGGAGAATAGGCTGTTACCCAGGCAGCAAATCCCCCCTCTCCACATCACTGAAATAGTCCAATGGAAAGGCAAGAGCCAATACAACTGGTTCCAGCTATGTCACAGGAGTTGGCAGAACGACATGAACTGCCTTCGGGACTCTGGCTCCAGATTTTGCCTCGAGGTTAACTCCTGAAGCCTTTTCCATAAGTGGATATAGTGACAAAGCAGTGGAGGTTTGAAGTCAGAGTTTTCCTTCTCCTAGATGGGCTGCCTTCCAGGGCTGAACGAGTCCCACCTACCTGGACTGTTCCCTCACGACATGGAGGACGATGGCGGCACCTCAGTGGGGGTTTGAAGTCGGAGTTTTCCTTTCCTAAGCACAAGCCGCTGACAAAGTGCTGGATGAAGCTGCCTTTCATCTTCCATTTCTGATTATGGTGTCATGCCTCTAATTTCATATCTTCAGAGTCGTTGTAACTTGTGGTCACTGGTGATCCTTCCCCGCTGCCTATTTCAGTCTCCAAACTATTAGAATACTTCACCTGATGTTTTGTTGGAGGAAAGCTCTTCTGCTTTTTGCACTTTTTGATTTTCAGAAGTTACCACTTCATTGCAGAAGTTTTTGGTACTTCTGCAATGAAATCAGGCTGTTAAAGCAGCCCTTTAGGATCCAAAATACAAAGGTATATTTTAGGATGCCCAACAGGATGTTTTGAGAAACCTACAAGCAGATTTTTTAAAAGGAGTACCTGAAAGAAAACTTTCCTCAACCACCTCTATGTCGGAAGCATCATGCTCAGTCCAGTGAAATAGATTTGACTTCCTCACCCCAGTTGTTTTGTTGGAGGAAAGGTCTTCTGTCTTTTCTACTTTCTGATTTTCAGGAGTTGTTGCCAAGCTGCTTTCCTCTGTTGAGGACATGATGACTCTACCTAAAGTCTCTGCTGGAGACTTTATAAAGTTGACAAAAAGTGACATCACAAAGTGTGGTCAAGGTATTGTTACCCGGTGTGGGGGTACCATTCCCAAGGTTGCTAAGCCACATGGGTGTTGTAGAGTACCTGCGCAAACATCAGTCCCGTTCATGGGAGGCAATAGGGCTGCAGCTTTAATGAGAAACTGGGGAACAAACCTTTTCAAGGGACCCATCAGCGTAACTGGGCATCTGATCTTCCATATGTTGCCTAGTGCTGGTAATACTGCATAAGGCTCTATGGCACAGATAAGAAACCTGATGCCTCTTTCATGTTGGAGGCTACAGTTAGAACAGGCCTGATGCAGTTTTGGCACCTATACAAATGTGTATACTTTTGATACTTGTCCACAAAAAGTTAATTTGAAGGAACTTGAGCACTCTGGCAAGCAAGAGGTTCACATCAAAAATCTTCAAAGGCGAGCAAAGCAATATACATTGTGTCTGCACTGGGAAAACTGAAGAGGTGGCTGTTGCCTGTTGTATTAAAATCTTCAGGAATGTCACTCAGACTGAGCCCAACATATCCAGGGCTACTGCTTCACATCAGGAGCTATTTTCATAGCTACAGCCACAGTAAGTGTAACTGTTCAATGTGATTATATGAAAAAGATGACAGGGCTCCTACAATAATTGATTACAGCAGTCTTACTTTGTTGTGCATGCTAGCCTGCTGAAATCCCCTCTTCTATACAATTAATAAACATCCAGAGACCCAGCCCTATTCCTTTGCCCCATCACCTATTTCTATAAAACTTTGGGAGACTGTTTAACTGGCCTTGGAACATTTGCTTCTAAAAAAGCCTAAATACAGTATGTACTTTGGTTACCTAATGCTATCTGTGAATGTAAATGGAATAAAGTTTCACTGCATTCATGTCTAAATAAGGATGCACTACTAGTCATTTCTCTACCATAGTGCAGAACATCTCTAGACTCCATAAACTGATGTGACATTTTGTCATTGTTTGGCTTCATTGTGTTTTCTTTTGGAAACTAAAAGACCCTTCCAGGGGTCTTGCCTATACCATCGCAGGGTGTGGTGTAAATTTATCTCATTCTGTGACCAAGTA